CGAGCAAACAGATGAGATGGTTGACCTTTTGAGGACAACGCTGCCAACTGCACCGCCTGAGCTCAGTCTTTTCACCGTTGTGTCTGTGTGTGTTTGTCTGCAGTCGGTCAGTGGTTTTATCTTTATTCTCCGTCTTCACTTGAGATTTGACCTGCACTCTCAAAAGATCTAAAAGAAACGTTCACAAAGGAATATTACAAAAAAGAAAAGATGTGAAGACGGACAGAGACAAGACCGTTCTTCGTCACTTAGTTGAAACATTTTCAAAAAAAAAAAAAAAGGCCTTTAACCAACAGCTGTGGTACAAACTTGACTTTAAAACATATAAATAAAACAAAATACCTGCCTTTTGTTGAACTGTATCAATGACAGAATGAGTAAAAACTATTGGTTAATCTCCCAGACTCTGACCAAACCACCTTAACTGTGTTCAACTGACTAACAGGTGTGAGATGACCTTCAAAGATCAACCAATATTAACACTGAATCGCTACGACTGATCAACTTTAAGACGTTTTCAAAAATCCATGAACTCAGTAACGGAGCCCCCCCACCCTGACGGACGGTTGTGCTAATGCACAGTTGGAATAAAGGACCAAAGCAACTTGGTTGCTCCTACATTTTTAAAAAGAAGAAGGTGATGGTGATGAAGACCACGGTGGCTCGGAATCACGCCCAGTCAATTTGCTGATTGGCTCTTAAAAAACAATGGAAAGAAATATGTCTGGATCATAAATAAAAAGATAAAACATTCATTAAATTGTTGCTTCATCGATGGGACTGTAAATAAAAAAAATTAAAATATTAATGTAATGAAACCAAATATAAAACTAAATATTTCTGCAGCTGCCAGGACGTTAACGTGTTACGTCGTTTGTCCTAGGAACACAAGTTAACCTCAGGAGCCCCCTTGTGGACAACAGAAGGTTAACAGGTGTGTGTTGCATTAAAGGGACAATTCAGACTTGGAAGTGAGCACCTGGAAGTGGGTGGTGTCAAACCCAGCGCACCCTGGTGGCAGGTGGGGGTAACAGGAAAAACGAAGCTCTCTCATCAACAAATCAAAGATCTCTGGAGCTAATGGAGGCTAACCAAGTGCAACAAGTTAGACTAGCTGCATTAGCATGAACCCCCTTCACAATCACATGAACAATGTCTGTAACACCAAGTGTGATACTTGTTAATTAAAACAGGGGTAAATCAGAGCCTAATGAGTAGTAATTGCTGATAATTGCAGTGTTGTGGATGTATCCTGTCTAATTGGCTGGCAGTGCTAGGATAATGAGAAAAGTTTGATTACTTTATGCTAAGTACGTTAGCGAGGTAGCAGGTGTTGTTTCCAGGAGGTGTCAGAAGTGATCCCATACATCACATCTCAATCTCCTCAGCAGGTCTCTGCAGAGCGCCAGAGAAAATGAGCCGGAGTCCACGGCGCCTCCTAATGGGACCAATGGACCGCGTTTTTATTGCTTTTATTACGGGAATCGTCATAAATGTGACAATAACCAACACATTTATAAAACTCTGGAGAAGTGTTTTCCTGATGTGTTAATTTAAAACTTTATATTTGCCAATATGTTATTTAATAATTGAATATATAATTCTAAAATAAAACGGTGGCAATAATTTACCAAATTCCTAACGGGGTCAGTTTCAATCATCAACCTGACATTTCTGACGCCATCTTCACGCCTTTGCTCTTCTAACATCTTTTTCTGAAATATCAAAAAGTGTTATCTTCAAATCTGTTTTCTTAAGACTGATATCAAAGAGTAATCAACACAATAAGTCATCTCATTATTTTAACGACATTTGAATTAGGCCGACACCTTAACCTAACCCACAAAAACTATGTCAAACGATTACGTTGACTGATTTCTGTTTTATATTTTATTATATTCGACCTTTTGAGAAGTCGTGACTGGAGCGAATAAAGTGAGAGTCACAAATGATTATTTCATGCCACTCTTTTCACCTCTAACTACCTCAGCTCCCCTGCTTTGGTGGATGATTGAAATTCAGCTGAGAAGCTGCAGGTGTTGCTCTCAGAGAACTTTCTGAAAGGTCAGAGGTGACAGGGCGACCCCGTGTCACGGCTAATGTGTCCCGGGACAGATGTGGGCGTGTCAATAGGACCGTGTTTGGGTGAATTGGTCACAGAGTGAGTAGCTGTCAGATACTGAGAGTGTCTGACAGGTGAGGGTCACTCTCATTGTGCAGTTTGAGTAAGGTAGGGCGAGGGGGGGGAGCTGGGGGGGGCTACAATCTCCATCAGTACATCCTTAGGGGAAGGTGCCCCCCCCCCAGGCGATGGAAGGCACCGCAGAGGAAAGTCAAAGTAGTTAAGAACATTTCTCTTCTTTTCAGAGAGAGAATCATGAACCACAGACAGACAGACAGACAGACAGACAGACTCAGCTGTGACATCATTATGAACATAACTGACTGCTGACCTTCTGCTCACGGTCAGTTCTGCAGGTTTTGGCCCAGGCCCTGAGGAGCCCATTACTTTGTAAAGGAGTCGGTTTAAATGCAACTCAGCGGTGAAACGGCATCAGGCTCTGAGCTGCTGCAACCGCAGGTTCACCACGGAGCCACACGACTGCAGGCAGAAGTGGCAGCAGCACGGGCTGCACAGGCACAGGTCCTAACAACTGATTATATCAATGATGTAACTTCTGAACGTACGGGTCGTGAACACAACCCTCTGTTTTGTTCTGACTGCACTGAAAGCAGCGTGTTGTCGTCTAATTTACTGATTCCAGGCTGATATGGTTTTCTGAACAAAATCAATGAGGCTCAGCTTTATTTACCCAATGCTAAATTAGTTTTGTGTTTTACACACTGGACAAAAGTGGGTTTTTTGTTATTGCATTTTTCCATTTAAAGATGCAACAACATCCAGAGGCAATCACACACACGTTCAGGCCGAGCAATAAGATCCAGGAAAGCTGTGAAACAGAACGCCAAGAAATAAAATAAAGAGCAAAGAAACTGTCAGCATTTACAACAGCACAGCTATGTATTATCTTAGGTTAGTGTGTGTGTGTGTGTGTGTGTGTGTGTGTGAGAGAGAGACCGTAAACATTTACAATATCAACTGAACTTCATCACAAAACCACAAACACTCAGATGAACAAAAATCTGTGCAGAAATATCTAAGATTTTAACGACTCTCACTCACTCTCCAACGACTAACAACAAATTCCACCGGCTTTCTGACTCCCTTCCTCCCTCCCTCCCTCCCTGCCTCTCTCCCTCCCTCCCTCTCTGCCTCCCTCCCTCCCTCCCTGCCTGCCTCTCTGCCTCCCTCCCTCCCTCCCTGCCTCTCTCCCTCCCCCCCCCCCCCCCTCCTCGCTCCCTCCCTCTCTCCCTGCGTCCCTCCCTCTCTGCCTCTCTTCCTCCCCCCCTGCCTGCCTCCCTCTCTGCCTCTCTTTCTCCCTGCCTGCCTCTCTCCCTTCCCCCCCCCCCCTCCCTGCTGTGTCTTCCCTGCTGTGTCTTCAGGTATGAGGTAAATGAAATGTGACTGCAGCGTCTCCAGAGAGAAACCAGTTGACAACTGTCCTAAACAGACAGACAGACAACAGACAGACAACAGACAGACAACAGACAACCTGCAGCGACTTTTATCCAAACACTTATTTTCATTTTAATGTATCATTTGTTTTTGTCTGCTGTCTCTGATCAGGACATTTATTACTTGACGTATCGTCTTCATCATTTACAGCATGATGTAAGTCTTGGTAAAAGCACTGACGTTGTACAGTATGAATGTGTCGGGGGGCGGGGGGGTGATGGAGGGGGGATATGTTGGAAGCACGTAGTTAGAGTTGTAGGCATAAAGGTCGCGCCCTTGTCATGTAAAAGTGTGGGTGTAATTTCTCTCTCTCTCTCTCTCTCTCTCTCACCCCCCCCCTCCATGCACTAGTGTCACTAGGTGGCAGCTTGCAAATTGGTTTCTCTCCCCTGGACTGACAGAGTGGACGTCCGGCTCCACCCACCTCCACCCACCTCCTTCAACCTTATCTCAGTGATTTCAAGTCAAAGCTCCGGTGACGTGAACCTCGTGCTGCTCCTCTGAGCGTCCACTGATCCAGGAGTCAGGGCCTGGTTTGACACCAGTCGACGCTCAGTCCTGGTCCTAACAGCTGATCTGCTCAGTCCTAATCTCAGATTATTATGGGATGGTTCTTAGTAAATCAATAAACTGATCAATGCTCATTAGAGATGTACACACACACACACACACACACACACACACACACACACACTGTGGGATTAACAAACTCATACTTTAACCTTTACACTTTCAGTCTTAATCCACTTGTTGAAACAACACAACTAAACTAAACTAAACTAAACTAAACTAAACTAACCTAAACTAAACTAAACTAAACTAAACTAAACAACTAAACACAACTAAACTAAACTAATATTAGTGAACGACCACTCGATCATGACAGGTTAACGAGGTGGAACCTAACGAGTGTTCCAGACCTGGAGGTCATTAACAGAGAATAAAGGAGTCTATAATAAATGTAAGAACGGTGACGGCCTTGTGTCTACAGACCGGTCTGTGGTTCCACGTCTGTGTCCACTTGTAATGGACAACATTAACATTCCATTTCAACAGCCAGGAAATAATGACCTTGTTGTTGAAGCCATTCTCTGCTTGTTACACATGTACACAGATTGTGGGACTCAAAAGATCCAATTAATACTTGACCCCCTTTCTTTCCT